GTAAGTTCTGTGGTCGTCCGGAACACGTCAAATACGTCTACATACGTCAATATGCGTTGGAGATAAGTTCGATATAAGTTACACATAGGTTCAAAGCACGTTACTCATAGGTTAGAAATATGTTTTGGGTACGCTAGACATTATCTCGACGTATTTCGACTTATGAGTAACTTACAAGTAACGTGTGTGAACGTGTGTCAACGATCGCATAACTTACCTACAACTTATGGCCCGAGTATGCGGGACGTATGAGCATACGCTGGCATACGTCGAAAAACTTTGTGCATGCACAAAAATTTTCGACGACCTCGCCGTACTACGACGTATACCAGCATGCTTCAGCGTGCTCTTAACTTGCGAATTTCCTCCTGCGATTCACAGGTGGCGACACTGTTGCTGACTGCAGTGACGTCAGCGGCGCCGGCAGACGAAGCAGGCAAGGTCGCGGTGAGAGTGAAGCGCCACGTGCTTGGGACGGATAGCTGCCACATCGCAGAACACATAGAGGATTTCCTGCACTGCACTTGCTGCGTCAAACCAGTGTCAAACGTCTCAAACAGAAGACGCAAGCGAAATACGGGCGCTTCGATATGCACAAAATTGTGCGACTACATAGCGGCCAACTTGAACTGCGACTGTTAGATGTGCTGAGAGTAAGATCCCTGAACACAGATGAGAACGACACATCGACACACGCCTAACGTGTCGCTACACTCCTACAGCCAAGGCCGGATTCAACTAGTGCGGGGCCTGGAGCATATATATATGTTATGAAGGGGTTGGGAAATTTTTTTTTTAAAGACAAAAATTAAAACATAAATTTAAGTTAATCTAAATCTAACACATTTGTAATTGATTTACTGACAAATAGACTAATGTCAGCACTCGTTATTGTATCAGGTTTACGTGTATAGTAAAAATAAAAATAAATGTTGTTTAAGCAAAATCTAACTATTAGATAGTTCATGATATTACGGGGCCCCTAAAACCTATATCTATTGTTATACTACTGCTACACTATTACTGTATTTACTCTCTATCATTCTATACATATATATATACATAATAGATGCTCGCACGCACACACGCGCACTCACGCACGCTCGCACACGCGCACACGCACACGCACGCACACGCACACGCACACGCACACGCACACGCACACGCACACGCACACGCACACGCACACGCACACGCACGCGCACATAATAAACGCATAACATAACAAAAAAATGCATGCACCTGAAGATTCTATAAAGATGAAAGCACTTGTGTAAAACTAAATGTCGCATTATTCTTTTTGTATCTATAACAACTGAATATATATTGTGCAACTTAAGAACCTTTTCTACTATACACACACACACACACACACGCACATGCGCACGCACGCACGCACGCACGCACGCACGCACGCACGCACGCACGCACACACACACACACACACACAC